GATGCAAAGATAATAGAGCTAGAAATACACCTGTCAAATGGCTGTGTAGGATAAGTCTTCTCAGTCACCCAGTTCTTTTGGATCTCTTAATGCTGAGCCCACTGCCTGCAGCATACAGCTAATTTTTCATATTAGAATGTCCTGCAGAACTAAGTCAAATGACTCACAGGAATCTAAGCATACTCTGTCTCTCATTAGCTGTATCAAACTTCTAGGCTTACAAAAAAGTTACATAAAGTCATATGAAAGTACCTTTTTTGAATTAGGTTAAATTGGATTCTAGCTTTTGCTAATTTACCCAGGACATCCTTTGGTTGCTTGTCTGTGATTGGCTAGAGATGTATGTTGAACTAACTGATCTGTAGTTTCCTGGATATCCATGTGAACACTTAAATACTGACAAGACATCGGATTTTTTCCCCCCAGTAATCTTAAGTTCCCCAGTGTGCCATGATTTGTTATAAAGAAAAAAATAAATGGTTTAGTGAATTCATTAGCCAGTTAAATACTCTTGGATGTAAGCTCTTCTCCTGCACATTATAAAAATTGTTACTTACACAGTTTAGCATCTTCCTTAATTACTGATGGAATAGAAAGTATTTCATTACCACTGTAAAATATGAATATTACACATTGTTGTTTCAAATGCAGAGCAGAAATATTCACTGAGTTCTTGGTTTTCGTTATGCAGAATGTGTGTGGCACACAGTCACCTGGGGCTGGGGCCCAGCACCTGCAGGTCTCTGCTCTCTCTGCTGCTGGGGCATCCTGCTTTGGGGTTGAGGTGTCAGAAAGTTTGAGAAGCTGGAGAGGTTCAGAGGAGCACCGTGGGTGGGTGATGGGCTGCAGTGACTCCTTGGCAGCAGGAGCTGCAGAGGGGTTGGGGTTGGGCACACCATGGTTGCTCCTTGGAGTCCTGTGTGCAACTGTGGGCTCCTGTTCTCCAGTGCCAGGTTCACGGGGTGGGAGGGGCTAGGATCCCACTCCCATGGAGAACTGAGGGACCCTCCATCACCTCCTGCCACCTGCTGCTGGACCCTGCTGTGCCTTGCCAAACCTCCCTGCAGCGTCCATTCAGCACTGCCAGGCTTTCCAAGTGGCACTTGGAGGTAAAATTAGACCCAGTGGCTGGAAATTGGAGCTGGGCAAACACAGAAATTAGGATTAGAAATGAAACACATTTTTAATAGCAAGTGCAATTAATCTTCTAGTTAATTGCATCTTAGAACAGCTTGTCATGGTGGATGTAGATTTCTCATCTCTAGTTTTTTTAAAAATCGCTGTAGGCTTTGCCCTAGCCCAGAGCAGGGTTCATCCTGCACGGTGGTCAGCCCAGTCCCAAAGAGATCAGACTGATTAATTACAGATCTGTGAACCACAGTCTTGTCATTCCTCTGCACTGTGCTCTCCCTGCCGGGACTGTGTTCGGCCCAGGATAATGAGCCCCAGTTTCCCTTCCCAACACTGCTCACTCCATTGACACCTCATCGACACCTCTGACCTCCCCTTAGTTTCCTTCATTTTGGCCCCACTGGTTTGTACTGGTTCTGTCAGCTTTGAGCTCTGAATCTGCTGCCTGTACTGCTTTCTGAGAAAGACATTCTGGAATAAATGGTGATGCTGCATTTATAATGTTGCTTAAATATTTGCTCTTACTCCATTTCCCTCATGAGCTTTAGCTTTGAGATCTCAGTTGTTTGGCAGTGATGATGGTGTTTCACCCTGTGGGATGGGTGGGGGTTGGGGGTTCCAAAGGACCTCAGGGCTGGATGTGACACTCAAAGGCAAACCCCATCCTCTCCCCAGCACACGAGCACCTCAGGGGCTGCCCCACGACCCTGGCTGTGATCCCCCATGGGGAGGCCCCAAGTGCCCTGGCTCAGGGCAGTAGGAACCTCAGTGTTCATCGCAGGCTGTGACCCCTGACAGCAACACTGCCCCTCTGATCAGCCCTGCGCAGAGCTCTGCTGGGCTCACACTGGGGGCTTGCTTGGCCCAACAGCAGCTCTCCCAGTGCCCCTTCCCCCTTGGGAGCGTGACTCCAAATGCTTCCTCCGCTTCTTTTTCCATCCAGAGGTGCTGCAGCAGATGCTGACGGCCCTGAGGTGAGCACGGGGACATGTTCTGCAGGTGAGTCCCAGGGAGCAGACCCCTTTTGCACAAGGGTGCTCTCTGGGTTGTCCGTCCTTGCCCCCTGCAGCCGCTTGCTGTGAGTGAGTGGTTCAGGTTGCTTAAGGAATTACCAGCAAAGGTGTCAGCAAAAGCAACTTTAGTGTAAATCAGCAAAAGCAGGTTTGATATAACTTTGCAGTGAGAGCGGAGGACATCAAAAATGGTCAGAAGACAAGGAAATGCCCAACAAAAAGTGCCTCAAGGACCCGAAGCTGGAGAAACTTGAGTGGTGACAAAATAGCAATATCTAAATACAGAAAAATTACCCGAGCACCTCTCCTACGAGGAAAGGCTGAAGGAGCTGGAACTCTTCAGCCTGGAGAAGAGAAAGCTCCAGGGGATCTCATCAGTGTGGATAAGTGCCTGAAGGGAGGGCACAAAGACAATAGAGCCAGGTTGTTTCCAGTGGTGCCAGGGACTGGACCATGTTCCCAGCTGAAGACAGCGTTAGTCATGTGCCAGCCTGTATTGTGGATGGTGCTGCATAACCCCTTTTGCTCTGAGTCCTGCATCCTGCACTCTGAAAATATCAGGTTTGCTCATAGGCTCTTTAGTTCTGTCAGAGCTATGAGACATGTCCATATAGTGACCTGCAGATGATGGATGTCTTCTGAACTAAAGGATCCAGAGCACTCTGCTCAAGTAATTACTGGGGCAGAGCAGTGCACTAGGAGAGAGCTGCTTCCAGGCTAAAAGTGCAAGAGGTACCAGTCTGGTGCCTTAGCAGCCCCATAAATTATCTGAAGAGTTTGGCTAATATCGCTTTCCCAGAGCAGGATCCAAACCCAGGACAGAGAGAGGGCTTGGCTCTCCTAAGAAGAATAATCCTTAAAGAGATATGTCAAAGGATCCTGCTTTGTCCAAGACTACAGAAACAAAAATTTCTTCTCTGAGATCTTGTCAACAGCAAACCCATCCACCTGGGACTGCTCTTGCCGCTGCTAATGAAGATCCTGGGTTCTTACTGCTCCAGCTATGGCTCTGCCAGGTCTGCTTCTGAAATGTGTTCCCCGGGTGTGAGTGCAGGTTTCCATAGCCACTGCAGATGACTGACAGGTTTTGCTGTCGGAAGCTGAAGACGGAAGCACATGGGGCAGCTCTGCAGTCAGGGAGAGCCTGTGGGACCATGTTTGCAGAGGCCACCTGGGGCCTCCTGGGTGCTCCTTGCCTGTGAGCTCTTGCCCACCCCAGGCTGTGTGTGGCTGCAGGGTCTGATGGACCATGTCCTGGGCACATCCAATAGCAGAGTCTGTGCCTGGCAGGAGCCCAGCTTCAGTCAAACAGCACCATGGCCATAGCCAGACTAATCTCTAGATTTCCCATACTTTGAGTAAATAATTTTGCAACGTTACGCTTGCTTTTAATATGTTTAGCAGCTATATTGCAGGAATGCCTCGAGGCTGTGACTAGATTTAGTCCTGTTGTGCTAGATTCCATGCAGAGATCGTAAGTGGAGCAGGTAGAGGCATAAAGTTAAGGCTGCATAGCAGTTTCCATTAGGAAGACCTGCTTTCATTTGCCAGTCAGTCATTACACTTTAACTGTAGCAGTTGTGGTTGCCATGCTCTGTGTCTGTCTCAGAACTTTTCCCATTACAGATACAGCAAAAATTAATTGGCCTCTACCTGGCCAACAGCCTATGCTCCAGGAATACACTCTAGACTCCTCACCTCAGAGAGGAGAGCTGGCCCAGATGGTTCTTTTTCTGCCCAGTAGCCTAGGATCAACTTTTCCCAAATTACCAGCCTCTGAGAATCCCCCTTTTGTGTTCCAAGCAAGGACATTTTTAGAGGCTGATGGTTTTCCCCTAAGAAGCCTCTGCCTATGCTGAGCAGATTGCAGTTAGGGCAGATCCACTGTGCTATCCAGACAGGTCATGCACGGTCTTCAGCACAGACACTGTGTCCCAAGTGTCAAGTGTTGAGCAGGACACTTTCCAGTCTTGCCTACTGACTCCTGAAAAACAGGCAAATGGACTCATCCATGATCATGTGTCTGCAGCAAGGAACGGCAAAGAGGAGGAGGAGGAAAAAGCTTCAGCAGTTCTAATGCAGAAACCAGAGAAGAGGGATTGAAAGCAAAGGCAGACTGAGGACAGAGGCAGTGGCATGACGGAGGATGAGATAGGCCAGGCTGGTCTGTGATTGCTGAAGGCACTGCTGGCAGAGACTGGACTTGAATTTGGGTCCCAGCCTGGTGAGACTCAGAACCAGGCTGAGGCTGAAAACACAAGGCATGACCCAGCAACCTCAAAACAGAAGGAGAGAGTAGGTGTGCCCCTGAGACTCTTTCTTAGCCTGATGTCTGATAATGTACCCAGTGAGGTCCTGAGAGGTCTCTGTCAAAAGCTGAGAGTGCAATGAGACCAGGGGCTTTACAATTGCACACACAATTAATATTTCTGCTGTACCTGGCATGTTGGACGGTGTATATTAAGGTACATTAAGGGAATGCACTGGCTCTTTGCAAGGGAGGGATGGAGCCTGATAAACCAGAAGTGAGGGACTTCCTGCAGGGAAAGTGTGTGGAGAGGGAGAGATGTCCAGGGAGCAAACTGAGCAGTGGAGGTCTGAGCCTCAAGTGGAAGCTATGGAAACTGCATTTCACTAGACAGCAAGAAGCTATGGAAGATTAGACAGAAGTTACGGAAACTGGGAAAACCTGTGGAGGTCCAAAGAGTAACAGAGTTATCATGTGCAACCTGGACCCTCACTCTGAGTTGGCTCACCCTGCAAGGATGGTGAGTGTGGGAGCCCTGTCCTGTTCCATGTACACCTTGGAATACAGCAGCACAATCTTTGCTCTATTTTGCAACTTTTTAATTTTTTCTGCAGTCCTTCAACCTTTCCTTATCTGAATCTTGGCTTCATGATTTGGCATATGAGTTTTTTTCGTTCTTTACTACAAAGTCTGATGAGACAAAGTAAACCAGAGTGGAGTAAGCTGTTGGACCCTGAGTACATTCGCCCCTCATGGGGGTTCAGCCCTCTGGAATGAGGGCTTACTCAAATGGTGCATCTGTCTGTCATCAGATCTGCTCTGCTCACCTTCCTCAGGTCCTGTGGACTTCACCCTGTGGACTTCAAGCCCTTGCTGCCTAGCTTCCCACCCCTCTGGAAGCAGTCTTTCCTTGCTGCTCCCAGCATGGAACAGAGATTGAATGTCTGAAGGGAGACAGGGGCTGCAGGTAATGCAAGTGTATGATGAGGTAAGCAGAAGCTGTCTTGGAGACACAAGTAGGGACTTACTGGGTGCCAGATATTGATGTGTAGAAGTCAGTATGGAGCTTGTGCTCCAGGCTTCAGGCAGGACCTGCTGCTGTCGGCACAGGCCACCATCCTCCCTCATGGGAGACACGTCGCCCCAGCTCATTCAGCTTCCCAGCAAGGTCACAGAGTAGAGCAGTTTCCTGTTGCTCTCAAATATCTTGCTAACCTATCTGAGGGTGTGAGGTGTGGGTTGAAGGTTACGTAGGAAAGGTTCATTGAACAAATGATCAAATTTCCATTGCTCAAGAGTCAGGAAGCTGTTTGCATAGCCTGGATTTGGGCCTCTTTAGGCGCAGTCATGAGATCCAGTAACGCATGGCTATTCTTTCCCTTTCTCCATGGTGTAGTGATAGCAGGGAATGGACCCAAACTGTGTGCATGAAGATGACTCCAACCCAAAGGTCCCTTTCCCACAAACATGCCAGGAGAGCTGGGCCAAGGACAGACAGAATATGGATGCTGACCTGCAGACCTGGACCATGTCCTTTGTATCACAACTGATCCCTATGGTGGGATCCATCCAAATGCTCCTCACTGCCAGCTTCCTTCCCAGCCTGGAATCTGGGCCCTCATCCTGGACTAGGGACTGACTGGTTGATGACCTGCAAACACAGGCATCTCTCTCTCCCTTAGTGATCCAAGGATGGGAGATGTTTGCATCAGTGGTGACAGGGATCCAGTGGGCCTCAATTTTAGGATTCAGTATTTGAGTTTGGATGATTATTTTACCATTGGCTTTTCCACACTTGTTTCCCTGGCTGGGGGCAGGGCAGTTCTCACTGCAGAGGGATATTTCCTTGGGACTGCAAGGACGTGCCACAGAGAAAGGCACAAAAGACAGGAAAGAAAAAGGAGGCTCTGTGATGTCATAGCTGGACCCTGGGGAGTCAGACTGTGCCTGTTTAGTGGAGGAAGGCTGAGTACCTGGTAGACCCACTTTGCCTAACTTACACACTCCACACAGGATCCAAGTGTCCAGCTCCATGGCTGGGCTTTCATGTCCCACACAAAACATGTGCTTCAAGGCTGCAGCAAAGTGGTGTTCCAGATCTCCTCAGGGACAGAGCAGAAGGTGATGGTTTAGAAATCCATGTGTTCATACAGATAGTAATGCCACCAGGGAGCCTGGGTAGCTAAGCAGCCAGAGGTACTGCATCCCTGGTCAAAGGGGGAGCGCAGGCAGGAAAACACAGGGGGCCTGAAAAGAAGAATACCCCTAGGTGAGAGACGGAGGTCTGGTGTGTCACCGTGCCACTGAAAATACAGAGTGAGCACAGACACGACTTCAGCTGTGGCATTTCTCAGCGTCCAAGTGCTTTACGTAGCAATCCCGACGCTTTTCTGAAGCAGGGCTTTAGTTTGCCTGATGCTCAGCATATTGCAGGTCCCGTGAGCAGCTCCCGGTAGACAGGAGCACAACCTAAATGTTGAGCTGGGGGGAGAAGTCCTCTGCTTTAGCGTGGAGACTCCCCACAAGGGGCAGGCGATGTTCCCCGAACACACAGAGCGTGGCGGAGCCGCAGAGCTCTCGCCGCAGCTCAGGAGCTTTCAGCTCACACGGGTCTCGCTTGCTCTGCAGACGGAGCGATGCACACCAGGGCCACCGGCCGCCACCCGGGGGACGCGTGTGG